TTTTTTCCTTTTTTTGGTTGTTCAAATCTTTTTGTCCTGAATGGTTTCGTGTGGTGGGAATATTTTTGTTTTCTTTTTTTTCTTCTGTATCTCTTCCTTCTTTTTTTGTTTATTTTTTTGTGTGTGTCTCATCATTTCGTTTGTCATGAATGGTTTCGTGTGGTGGTGTGGTGGGACGTCAAACATGGCTGTTGGAATCATTCATAAAAGGTGCATAACATAATATAAAGAAGAAAATCACAAACACAGAAAGGTAACATGGATTGTGTGCATGCATAGGAGGCGATCATCTTTGGATCATTCCAGCGAGGAGACGAGAAGAGCAGACACATGACAGAAAAAAGGGTGCGCTAAAAACGCTCTGAAAATCTTGCGCAGCGAACTGCGATGATAAAAACACGATACAAGAATGAAATGAATCAACCCGTCGTCGACTCCAAGGACCAACAAAATAAACACCTGCACTAAACGCAAAATGCACGACTAAAATCAATCAACCCGTCCTTGTGCCACGACCGACAACCTAAACAACTGCACAACCGCCATCGGCAGGGCGAATCACACCGACCGACACACTAAACGTTGCGCACTGCACAACGGTCCAACCACAGTGAAGCCCATCACGACCACCCACGTATACATGCCCCCTCGTCCACAGAAGCGCTGCCCCAATCCAGCACGGAACCACCACCACACCACCCGCCCCCCCCTTTCGCCCCCCCCTACGCGTCGTCTTTTACATCGTCGTTGTTGTCATCATCGGGGGGGGGGGCGAACCCATCCAATCGAGCTTCTTCGCATTCTCCCGGCCCGTTATGCTCGCGTCGTGCCTGAAACCAATGCCGCAGGGTGCCCAGCCAGGGATGTAGTCGGGGTACTCTCTGAACGTGGCGTTTGCCTTCCCCAGCCTCTCCGTAACGACTTTTGCGGCGCGGACGACGGATCGTCGGTGATCGAAGGACCAATGCATGGATGCGACGAGTGTGGGCTTCGCCAGCAGGTTCGCGAAGTAGAAAGCTTCGTAGTGGCTGCGCGGATCGTCTCCCTCCATGCGCATTATCCACATGCACGCTGCCAACAAAAGCCTGAAGCAGTCAGCCACCCGACAGAGACGGTCGTACGAGATGAAGTCACCGTCGATGTGCGCACCCATTTGCACTGCCGCGAGGAAAGCATGCGCGACGCAGACGACGGTGGACTCCTGGTACGCCGCCATGTCATCGTCAACGGATCTGTCGTCGATGTTGGCGCCGGCGAACCATAGTGGCAAGTCCATTGAGAGATCTATCGTGTGCACGCATCCCGCCGCACTGACGACGTTGCACCACTCCTCGCCGTACCACATTCCATGCGCATGTCCGTCGCCACGGATTCCAGCGAGTACTGGAAAGCCACATTGTATCCCCTTGGGCGGTTCCCGGACTTGAATATCCAGCCGTGCAAGATGCGCAGAGCAATGTTCTCAATTGCCGCCGCACGGGAGATCGCTTGCTGCAACTGTGATGGGTCGATGATCCTGGCCACCTTCGTGCTGGATTTGGGCAGGACCACGCTCCGAGGTACGACAGGCGCTGAAAGGCCGCTGGCGATGATGACAAATTACTCTTTCATTTCGTGGACGTTGTTGTATAGTCTTCGCCCCTCCCCCGTCGTCCAGAAAGCTTTGTCGTCAACCCAAAGCATGACACTATCGATGAGATCTTTCATCATCACACCCCTATGTGCCCGACTTGAACCGGGGTTGCCACCGTCCTGATCAGTTATGTTCTCGCCACGCGCCTCTTCTCTCGCCGTCGCAACAACAACCGCATTCTCTCTCGCCGCCGGAACGGGGGCCACAGTGCCTAAAGCACCCGCACCCGCACCACCTGCCGCCTTGCCGCCAACTGCGCGCGGTTCTGCCACGACTTCCCCCCCGCCGCCACGCTGGACGGATCCTCCGTCATCACCCGGATTGCGCTGACGTGGCTGAGACGGTGTGGCGGGCAGTCCGCCCGTGTTTCGCCTTTTGTCTACCGCAACGCGCGCCGTTGCCGCAGGCGCTGGGGTGCCTTGTGTTAGAATGCGCAGGCGACATTCGTGCAAGGGCTCGTCATCGTCGCCGCCCACATCGACGAAGGCAGCCTTCTCTGTCCGGGTATCGTGGGCACGTGGTTGCTGCGCCTCTCGTGGAGGGGTCATCAACCTCTTCGAAGCGCTCTGATCAGAAGAGCGCTGCCGTGCGCCCTCCCGTGCTGCAGACGGGGTCGCCTCTGCATGCTCTTTCTCAGTCGTCAAGTCGTCGTCGTAGTCGCCTTCTGCTGCTGCCGCCCAACCTTGTGCTGGACGAGGAGGCAAGTTTGGTGACGCATCATCCAAACGCGCCCTTTTCGCTTGCGGGACATGCCGCCGACCTCTTCCTTGCCCTTGGTTGTCGTCAGGGACGTCGTCGCGCTTCTTACCACGGCCCACGGGCGCTCCCTCGCGTGGACATGTTTCGTGGACACGTCTGCAGGCTAGCTTGGCGGTCCGTGATCGGGACGTGCTTCGTCGACCGCCATATGAAGTTCCGCCGATCCGGCGAGAAAAATGTGATCCGTTCTGGTTTGGCGCGACGACGACGAATACCCCTACGACGCAGAAGATCTCTCCTCTGCGGGAAGAAGACGACGAGGCACACTTGTGCGGCAGAAGAAAGACGACCTCGGCGAGAGCGCTCCGCGGCAAAAAGATTGACGACGAGAATGCTCCGCGGCGGAATGATTGGCGGCAAACGTCCACGTGTGCGACAAAAGGACGACGACTCCAACGGAGATCCTCCACGTGTGGCGAGATGGCAACAATCGCATCGGTGGTGGTCCTTCCGCGGCAGTGAAGATGTTCGTAGGGAGCAGGCAACATTTATCCGCGTCGCGCAGGCTTGTACTACACCCGTGTCGACCCGCTGGGTGTGCAGCAGGCACGTCGATCTTCTGTGGTTCAGACACCCCACTGCGGACCACATGCATCCGGGTTGGGTTGCGCACGTCTGTAGTTAACGCCGCACATAGACCGCCCACGACGCCGCTTCTACGTGGTGGGAGACGGCATCGTCGATGGTGCAACGTCAGGCCGTCCCTGCCTGTCCTACCGTGTCATTATCATCCTCCCCAAGGCGCGAAAAGTCCCTTCGACGATCTTGGCGACGCGCGTCATTTCACTCGCTAGGGACGAAAAGTAAGAGAACCCACCTTCGCCCCTGGCCACCCCATCGCGCCTACCCCACCCTCGTCCACAATCCCCAAACCACACAACCCCTTTCAAACGTGGCTCTGTGCTTCTAGAGCTACCAAAACGCAGA